CTCCCCAAACCACACCCAATTTGACATCCACCAATCGCGGTGAGGCCCCTCATTTGCATAACCCTAACCCTAATTTGCATAACGATATCCACTTTCCAAGTTCTGACCAAACATATTGCTCCAAATTTGCACAACCATGCCCCCAAAGAGCCCACCAATCAGAGAACAGACTAATACCCTGCAAATAAGAAAATAAGCACGTTTGTGGGGTGGGACGGACTGTAGGAGACATTATTTCAGTGCTTATCCTGACTGTTTTGTCCTTTACTACCATCTGCTGGACAATAGCTTCTCTCAGTCGAACAGCCTTTATTAAAAAAAAAAAAAACATCATGGTATTGTCATGCCCCACCCACTTTCACAGCTATCAGCGAACCACCAGCCATCATTCCAGCCAGGCCACACCCACTTTCGAGAATCGATTTCCCTCTGTTATTGCAAGTCGCAGTGTTCTTTCTTTTTGTTTTTCAATCACAAAAAAACATAATAAAAAATGACGCAACAGAAATGATGCTGCCACGGAGCAGTACTTTGCTGTCATTATGTTGTGAGTTAGTGATGGGATTTTCGGCTCTTTTCCGTGATCCATTTCATTTGGATCGGCTCAGTGAAAAGAGCCGGCTCTTTTTGGCTCTCAAACGGCTCTTTTAACTTTAGCTTTTCTTTTAAATATTTATGACAAATTGAGCATACATTTTGATAAATGACTTGGGGAACTAAATATTGCACTCTACTGACTGCAAATAACAATAATTATCAAGCAAAGAAATGGCTATTTTTACTTATTTTATTGAACATTGAAAAGGGTCCAAACAATAAACAAGCAACAAAATTAAACTTCAACAAACAACAATCAAACATGCTGCATCATCACAACTCCATTACTTTGATCAAACGGGGGTAGACGGAAGCTCGGTATTTCCACCATCTCAGTGGATCAGCTGCCCTTGAAATCTGTGGTTCTTCAAGATATGCCCTAATTTAGTGTTTTGTGTTTTTGCACGCTTGGCTAATACTGTAAATTAGATTCAGATTGCTTGCCAAACGCCTTTGTGGTTTCCCGGACAGTAGGGGGCGATATGAACTAAAGCCATCCAATTCACCAAGAAGAAGAAGAAGTACAAGCACAAGAACGGTACCACATCTGGTTCAATGAGCAAGTTTTTCTGCTGTCCACAAGCCCTGTTCTCAGTGAGTAATTTTAACATTTTAAACTGACTTCGCAGTTTATCTCTGACTGTATAGATGTAGACAATTGGGGAGAGTTATTACGACACGTTGCTCCTTTAATTTTGTTGTTGTGATTGCATGCCGCCCAAGTAGACCTCAGCTGTCAATCAAAAAGCAATCGCGAACAGCGTTTGACTTGAAAACTATACTGTATGTTTTCCACACCAAAGCTGCTATCAGCAGTGGAAATGTGATGGCTTCACATCAGTGGGGCAGATTTGTTTTAAAACTATTCCCACAAATGCACCCGTGACTTTGTTCATTTGTTTTTCGAAAGGAGGTTGCTCATTGTACTTTAGTCTGTGGGGAGAGAGCCGCGAGTGGATCGCTCAAACAGATGCATTGCGAGTGCGGCACGTTTGGAAATGGATGGGTTGAAAGTAAAAGTCTGCCACTTTACGAATAATGACTCAAATTAAAAAGAAAAAAAGAAACAACTTTTTTTATGGACTACAGTGTGTGACTTTCCACTTTTGTTTTGTTTTTCTGCCTGACCAGATTAGTCAGATGACTGGGCCAAAGGCGCAGCCGCCAGACTCGGAGGACATGCGGAAGGGACGCCAACCTGCATTTGGACACGCGTGGGTAGCTGTGTGGTGTGCTTGAAGAGCTGATGTCTGATGTCACGTTGCACCACAAGGTGGAGGTGAGTGTGCCCGCCTGTCTGTCTCTCACTCAATTTAAACTTCTGCTTCGTGTACTACACAACAGTGTCAACTCCACATAAACAACCCGAGCATCATCAAACACTTCTGGAATATGTTTTTAAACCTTGAAGTGGACCAAGTTAGTTTAAAAATGTGTTATTTATCGAGTGGCTTTCAATGTTATTTCAAATAACATTGAAAGCCACTCGACTAAGTGGAAATTATATGACGTAAAGAATACAGAGAATAATTTTGTTTACATATTTATGAAAATAAAATAACAAATTACATTTATGTTATTCTATGAATGTTTAGGTCAGCAGAGAAGGCCTTGCTGGCCCTGAGGGTCCGCCACTGATATATACATACATATGACTAACTTGGCCCACTTCAATGTCATTTAAAAACTTGACCAGAAGAGTGTGATCATGTAGTTGTGGAGTACACGGCAGTTAGTTTTTGTCTCAGTGAGAGAAGTCGGACGTGCTCATGTCCACCTTGGTGGGTCATGAGATGTGACATCACACATGAGCTGGTCAAGCACATGCAAGACTTAAGCTGCTCCCATCTCGGGCCTGTCGTCAGTGTTTGTGTGTGTGCAACTTGAACTGGCCCACGCAAACATTGACTGGTAAAATGCTTTCACATTGTCCTGTTTGCTTTTCTGTCCAATAAATTGTTGAACTTGAATTCGAGTCTTTGCCTTCCATGACTAAGTCCATCCTCAACTCACTCAAAGCCTTTCATGCTGAGTGGTCACTGCAGCGGAAGACTTCTCAAAGACTTAAGTCTTGAGGAGAGAGTTGCGCATCAGTCACTGGTATGGCCACAAGTGTAACAGTGCTTGTCCCGTTGGTCTCCACATGACTGGAAACTCCAAGAATTGACCTTTTGGGTCATGTGGAACCGACGGGAACAGTGAAAAGACTGTCTGGTGTGACCGAAGTGCAGCTCTCACCTCAAAACTCGCCAGCGTTCACTCAACCTGGAAGTGACGCGTGGACATGAAGAGCGAAGTCGGGCAACAAACCCCTTCCTGTCCACCTTTCTTGGCCAGGGGTGTCAAACTCATTTCACATTGTGGGCCACAAACGGCCTTGGTAGATGTCAAGTGGGCCGGACCATGAAAAATTATACCACACTCTGCTATAAATAACCAAAATAATAGATCTTTCCTTTGTTTTGGTCTAAAGATGCACAAGAACACTAGGAAAATTTTGAAATTTAATGAACATATCTTTTACAAAACATTTCATGAAGCACCTAAGATTTCCTGAGACAAATGTGGAATGTAGTTTTACCATTCACATATATGCATTGCAACTGATCCCACTGACTGTACAAAGGCACAAATAAGTAATTGGTCTTGAAAAATACAGTAATGCACTTTTAAGATTCAACGAGATTTATGAGGAAAGGAATTTTTAAACCATTTACACGAGCATATAAAATCTAAATGTAATCCCTGCCTACACCTTACAAACGAAGGAGAGTGCTTTAATATGTGTAAAGAATAAAGTATTCACATGTCCTTGATAGCGTGTGCTGTGTTGGGTCTGTCTCAGTGACAGAGTGAGGCTGCTGTTGTCTTCTTCGCTGATCAATACAATGTTGTCTTTTCCTCTGATCAAAACAGTGTATCCCCCTAGTGGACATTCCATGAATTACATCTTATTAAACATTCATTCCGTGTCTTTTGTGTATTTTTTTCTCTTTTAAATTATCCTGCGGGCCAGATCAAACCTCCTTGCGGGCCGGTTCCGGCCATATGTTATGCACCCCTGATGTATAGTAAGGCGTTTTTAGCCGAAAAAAATGACCATGTATAGGAAGGCGTTTTGAGCCGTAAATCGACCATGTATAGGAAGGCATTTTTAGCCGACAAAAACGACCATGTATAGGAAGGCGTTTTGCATAACCACCCCCCTTCCACCAATCACATCATGGTATTGTCATGCCCCACCCACTTTCACAGCTATCAGCGAACCACCAGCCATCATTCCAGCCAGGCCACACCCACTTTCCTGGATTTTTGTGCCTGAAAAAAAAACGGGAAAAAAAAATTTGGGAAAAAAAATTTGAAAAAAGTTTAGAAAAAAACAGAAAATAATTTTGTTAATTTTATTTTATTTTTTTCAAGTTAGATTGTGGTGATGTGTTTAAAAATGAAGTTGAGTTGAAGTG